AATCCAGCCCACTCCCTATGGTGCAAAATGACTGACACCAACGTAGTTCTAACTCATTTCATTTCAGGTGTACAAAGATCTTTTGGCTGTAAAAATCCAGGTCCTAGACAGGCAATATCATTCTAATTATGATGAATGTCCTCATTTCGGCTGCGATAGAATTAACTTTCTTCCTAGTAGTTGGTACAGTGCTGTATTTTGGAATTAGTATGAGAATAATGATGTGTGATAACACACTGATGTTTTAGTTGCTGCTAAGTAGTGCTTACCCTAAGTCAAGGACTTTTCCATTTCCCATGCTCTGCCAATGAGGAGGGGCACCAGAAGCTGGGAGGGAGCACAGACAGGACAGGTGACCCGAACGAGCCAAAGGGATATTCCATACCATATAGCGTCATGCCCAGTATGTAAACTGGGGGAGTTGGCCGGAGGTGCTGGTCACTGCTCAACAACTGGCTTGGCACTGGTCAGTGGGTGGCGAGCAACGGTACTGTGCACCACTTGTTTTTTTTCTTGGGTTTTAGTCATCTCTCTCCCTCTCTATTACCTCCGCTTCTATTACAATCATTATTATCATTATCTTTTATTTTATTTCAATTATTAAACTGTCCTTATCTCAACCCACAGGTTTTATCTTTTTCATATTCTCCTCCCCATCCCACTGGGCAGAGGTAGGAGTGAGCGAGCGGCTGTGCGGTACTTAGTTGCCAGCTGGGGTTAAACCACAACAATGGGCTATCTGTTCTCAGAAAGCTTTTAGTTTGTCCAAGTCTCAGTTGTACGTATTCCTGCTCTTGAAACCACAGTGCAAGTAACAGTTCATACCCACTTTGGGGATGTCAGTGCTGAATATACGGTGATTTTCAGTCTTTGCTCCAACACCTTCCCCGTCTTTTTTATTTTGATAGTGGAGTATTTACCCTTCCAGTTGGCAATTTTTGTGATACTCGGAGCTAAAAAGTTTAGCAGAGTCTGCTTTTGGGGCAGGTATCAAGCAATGAAAACAAGGCAAAAGCAGTCCGGGAAGGGAATAAAGTGCACAGCAAGACAGAAGCAAGGACTGCTGTGACCTACTCATTTTTTGCAAACTTAAGGTATATAATTCTATGTTAATAAGTGTTTCAGTTTTTTGCCATCCCCATGGAAAAAAAAATAAATCAGTAATAATTAGAAAACAAGTTTTCTTTCCCATTTTGCCTTTGCACTTCGCCATCTATTCTCTATTAACTGCTCTCTTCATTTGTTTGCTCAATCTTCTCTCCTGAGCAGATAAAAGGGTTTCATTAAAGCAAAGCCTAATGCTGTCAGTAGCAGGAGAGCTGCCAACCCTGGCGGTTTTACTAAGTCTATTAAGCTGACCTAAGCATGCTAATACTTAATTCCTTCTATTCACAGCAGTCCTTTGCAAATATTCCTTTATCTCACAAGAAAACTAAGTTATGAAATTCAAATGAATAACAAAAGACAAGACCACTCACTCTACCTTATCTTTATATATACATACATATAGTTCTGTCCTAAGAGAAGCAGTAGCATACTATCAGAAGCACTTCTTGAGATTACAGAAAGGTCTAACAGTTTCATTAAAGTATTCCGTTTCAGAGATTATTAACAAGAAATCAGCATTGGACAACCGAAACAGAAGTTGGTTTTTTTCAAGAATTTCTTGCCATAGCCCGTTTGCAGAGCAGATGTTCTAAACCTATCTGAAGGACATCTGTTATACCCATCTAGTACAGTTTATCTCTAATTTATCCAGAAGGAAAAAAACCAACAGATTCTACAAATCACTGACATCTTCTTTCACTGCCATAGAACTTAATATGGTAGAAAATACTCTGAAGAATAACAAGTGAACTATGTAACAGTACTAGTCAGCATCACCGCTTAAAGTAAAAACCTTTATCCTCCTTAATATCATTTGCCCTTCTTCAGGGCTCCACAGCTCCAGCTACTACTTCATGTTTAATTGAAATAAAGTTTTTAAAGCAACAAAGCATTGAACGTTCATCTCTTACATAACAGAACAAATCTGTAGTGGTAGGCAAGTCTCAGTTCAACAAAAATCTTGGAAAAAAAAAATAATCTATGAGTCTTCTAAAAGAAAAAAAAACAGGAGTGCTCACGTCAAAGAGAGAAGATTGATCTTAATTCTTCTGTCCTGAAAGATTAATGTCATTGTTTATGTAATGTAATAAATATGGGGGGAGGGCAGAAGTGAGAGGGTATCACCTGATGTCTAATAGGAAACATACTCAATAAGCAGCATGATTTATTTAAGTACACATTTACTTGAGAACTACTGTAAGGCAAGTGCAGAAATGATGGTGGAGCAGTGCCATGGCATCATTTCTCCAGCCATTTGTGATGACCATAATAGAAAACATTGGCTAGCAAAAGCTGATTTTTTCATTCGTTCTCTGTTTTCAGGTTTTCCAAAGGGTACTAGAGACCTTACTTGTTTTGGTTCATAAAAAATTATCATACAAGTGGAAAAATAATAAAAGGACCATGGTTCTGTGAATAGACAGGATCATATTTTAAACTCAAAACCAAAACTGTCCCAATAAGGAAAAAAAAGCACTCCTCTTTGTAATGGTTTAGCAGAGAAAAACTAATCACACACATGCCTATATTATATTTAGTGTAGAATTTACACACCAGCTACTACACTGAGGTTAACAACACATCAGCAACTTTGCACAGAAGCAGAACACCTACTGAGGAAAATAAACCAGCCTTCTCCATCAAGGACTGTCTTTCTCATTCCCGAAGGGAAGACAAATTACACTGAAGCCACCTACAGTAGGTGGCAATTGCATTGCTTAGCCATAGCCATGGTGAAGCCTTAAAAAAAGAAAAGGACAGCTTGGCTGCGACGAATTAGGCTTCTTCACAATCACCTAAGTATACCTCTAAGCAATTCTCCCTCTGTTATTTCATTAACTTATTTCACATCCTTGCAGGGCAAAACAGTACTTACACCAGATAAAGCAACAACCTGCAGACCTCTTCTCACACAGCTCAGTTCTGCTGTTCTACTGCATGGTAACACCTACTTGTCAGAGAGCAGAAAATACAGACAAGTTAGAGCATGATGAAGCAAAGGAAATTCTCTCATGTGAATAAACTTACTTCACGTAAGAGAAATATGGCAACACATTTTCTATTCTTTTTAAATAAAGACTCTCAGAATCTCACCTCAGTGATCCATGTGATGCCTATTAACGCACCCATCTAATGAAGGAGAAAGACTTCAATCATTCTGCCCCTTAATTCACGTCTAAGATCTCAGTTTTATAGCATAACACTGGATATTTCTGCATTCTTATTTTTTAAGCTTATGGAAAAAAAAACCACAAATTAAGGACCTTGACTAAAATCTAGTTTGCCACAGAAGGCTATGCAAATACCCACCCCCTCGCCCCCCCCCAAAAAAAGTAAAATAACCGCAGAGAATATCAATGTATTTTATAGATTGTTCTCTAGTGCTGCCTTGCTACCAAATGATTCCCCTTGTGGTAAAAACCTTAGTTAGGAAACAACTGTGTGCAAAAGAACTTGTGACAGCTGTCCTCCAACTTATGTTCATATAAAAATGGTAAATTTTTAGTAACAAATACAATTACTTCTTAAAACAACCATGTATTTGTTATTGAGGAAATTAATTTTGTTCCAAAAATAAACATGTATCTAAAAAAACTGTTACCATTTTTCCTTCAATTACTAACTCTAGGTACCATCAACACATGAAAGTAAGAAAGCAATAAACCCGTTATTTTGTAAGACATTTACAGCACTTTTGTGCACAGCTGTTGATTTATGTAAGTGGACTTTATACTGTTAGGCAATGTGACCAATATACCAGAAAAGAAGGTAAAAAGTAGGTCAGTGATACAGGACAATGGTTCTTCAACTCAACTTGCCTGCCTGCCTCCAACTTGAAACGTAAGGTTCATTCCTTGTATTTTGGAGCACTAAATAACACTGTAACTACACACAGAAGTCAAGAATTATTAGACATTATCTACCCTTGATCTTTACACAAAATTCTCATGACATTTATAGAAATTCAACAGCTGCGCAAAACAGAATAATGTCCATGGCAAACTTTCAGGATTTGCTCTTCAATAAATATCACAAGCATAAGAGAGACAGCAAATGTTAACATTTTATTTGTTTTGAACATATAAAGGTTATAACTCTCTGAAACAATTCTTTTAGAGCCATATTGTGGGGAAAATAAGCAATTTAAAACAATACATGTATCCTAACTGGTCTTCTACCAAAAAGATCAGTGTTCAGTATGACATCTTCTAGTACTCTTTTAAAAAAATAAATCTCAGTCACATTGTAAACTTTATATATCATTATTTAAACCACTGGAACATGAAAGACGTGCCTTTATGAACAATAAGATGTTAAAAGATTGGTTCTAGATAGAAAATACGTATATCATTAAGTTAAAGATGCTGTTCTTCTGAAGAATGTTTTTAGGCCGGATTCCATTCAAACTCCACCCAACTACAGACCATGAAAAAAGCGCAAAAACCTACAGAAGCTGAGGTTTCTTTCAGAGCTCACTTGGCCAAATGACTAAATCAGATGGAATTATTCAATCTAACTAAAATGGGGTAAAAAGAAACAAAATAAATCTAAATATATTAGTAGATTCAGCACTCAGCCGAAAAGCTTTTGGTCTTTAACATCCTTAGCATTGCCAATTTATTTGAAATTTTGGTACTCTTCTGCTAGCTTTACACCAGTTGTTTATAAAGAACTCATTAAATGGCAGTTTTCTGTTTGTGTACAAAGAAGTACAGGGTTGGGCAGTCAATTTCAGAATAATCGGAAGTCATGATGCAGGCTTCAGCTACCTAGAGAACGAAACTTCAGCCACAGCTTGTTCTACGTGTCTTGTCTACAAAGCAAAGTGCTTAAATTTTATCCTAGAGAACAAAAGCACACATGTAGTCCATAAATCTTACTTGGTTTTAACTTACTAAAATGTTTCATTTACATAGAACATTAAAGTCTATCACATCACATTTATCCAATACGTTAATTATCTTCTATTAATACAAAAGTAAAACAGAGTATCCCGGAACACTTCTACAAAGTGCACAGTCAAGAAGTGTCACAGAAATATGCACTTTTTGGACATCTTACAATCAGTGTACAGTACAGACTAGCAGGCACCTCTGTTAATTTTTTTTTTTTAAATAAATACGGAAATTTGACAACAAAAGGGTCCTACAGTACCCAAAGCCTCTGACAGCTGTAACTAAACAGAACATACTGGCACCGAGAGGTATAACCAGACAATTTTGCTAAGGCAAGCACGAGTATGTCAATTTTTAATTTTACACTTCTACCAAACTCTGAGTGAAAGAAGGTGTACATGTGCGCTTACAGCTTTCCTTCCTCCTTAAAGATGACAATGAGATCTGCTTCCTCCACATCTTTAAACTTTGGAAAGAAGCCCTGACTCAGGGGCACTGGCTTTAATGAGATTTTGGATTTCTTTGAATTTTGGATGTTCTTTATCAGCTACCAGCTGCAGCAATATAGCTTCGCTAGTAGTAACTATAATTCCAGTACGAGCAAGACGCTGAAAGAAAAAAGCAGAGAGAGAATAACATGAGATACTTGCAAAAGTGAATGAGTATACATTTTGTAAAAAAGACAGATGGTATTTTTAAAAACGTCTCCTATTAACAAAAGTATTTCCCATTTCATTCTAGCCTATCTTAGCAGCAGTATTTATAAAGCTAGGATAGAAAGTGACTGTTTTTACTGAGGAAAAAGGCTGCCCTGGATTACAAATAAGGCTTCCTACTCGGACTGTTCCTATGTCAGATTTAATACACAGAAGACCCACTCTCCTCTTATATTAACAACCCTTTCCCCTTGCGTAGTCCCACATATAGCTTTCTTCACTGTCACGCAGATTTGAAAGGCCTGGGGAAAAAGAAAATAGCAAGGTCCAAGCTAAAGGCGCTAAGCAAGAAACTTAATTGCAACAATTTCTCTTTCAGGGCTTGTTATGTACCTAGTACTTTGGACTACATACTGCACTAGTACTAATAATCTCAGGAGACAGAATGAAAAGCTCTTCCACAGATCTTATAAATCATACTGGCACAACAGTAGCTCCTTTTAACTGACATCTCATTACAGCCTCAGTTAACTCCTGAGTTAGTTCTCACAGGCTACAGAATAAAAAGCATTGCTGCACTGAAAGTAAAACTGAAAGAGGTCTGCTAGATCTTCTAAGTGTGCAACTAAACAGAGAATGCTTCATGTAGCCCAAGCTGGAGGACTTCCTGAAACATTTCAGGACTTTTAAGACTGTGGTTGCTGCCTGCGTAGCAAAATCATCATTAAGTAAAGGCTGTCCACCCTCTACCTCCTACCAGCTTCCCAGAAATTGTACAGATGCTTTTGCAGTTAAAACTCTTCATGGATCCAGCTTTCCCTTCTTCAGCCTCACTCAGCTGCATGCTCCACCAAATTTCATTGGGTCCTGACTAAGCCAAGAGGCAGAAAATACAGATACGTACACCTTCAGACAGGTTTCAATTGTAATGACTGAAGGAAAGAGAAGCTTCAAACTTTCTAGGACAGACATAGACCACTGCTGTTTAGTTGTTTAATTACAAAGCAACTGCGTAAAGTGTATGTAACTACAGTCTATATAATGATAAAATAACTAGGCTAGATTTATTCAAGTTAATGCTTCCTGCTTGCAATAATGGCAGCACACCTTGCGATATTCTTAAATTAAAACAAAGCAGAGAGCTTCCCCAGCTCTCCTACTCTGTTCAATGACACATTTGTTTAAACCATATACACATACAAAAGAGAGAAATAGGAAAACTAAAATGAAATATTATGGCAATGTTTTCAAGATGTACTTCTCCAGGAATACAAAGTTTTTGCTTTTAATGGTACAGATGAGAGAAAAAATCAAGACCGTTAAAGAACCTTGCCTTCTGAGAAATGCTGATTGAAGAAAGAGAACATCTTCTCTTCAGAAGCAAAACACACCATAATGTAAAAAGAGGCTGGCATTGTCTTCTACTCTACTTCTAGGACCAAGTATAATTTATATAGTTTTGAGATTAGTAGGAATGAAGAGATGCACGTGCTAAGCATACTGGATGATTTTCAAAGGAAGGAAAAGTTTTCTTAGAACATAGTCTTTCAGACAAAGGAAAGCAGCAAGTGTGTGTTGCATCCACACTGCAGGAATAGGTCGAACAGATGTAGAACAGAAAAGAAATTCATTTTTGGCTCAGTCTGAGACCCAGCTGTGACACAAGGCATCTTCATCAGATAGGGCAGAGATTAAGAACAGCCACAACCTTGGCCAGTTGGGTTGAATTATTTCACCAATGGAAATTTAGAAGTTTTTTGGGTTTTTTTTGAATGCAAGTTTTTACTGTCATCATTTTTAAGCATACAACAGAAGGGTCACCCAGGCAGACATGAAAGCTCTGGCGATCAATTAATTCAAACTGCACTTCCTAGCACACCTGTTCATATATTTGGATGTTTGCCACCAGCACCATCAAAACACATGCTATGTGAAAGGAAATGTGGAGAACTGAACAGGCAGGTGGGATGAGATGGGATTTATTTGAGGTTGCTGAGGCAGCTGTATGGTTGCTCTTTATCATTCTTGAAAGGTCACTGTGAATAGAGAAGGGCTGTGCTACTGGGAAAAGGTAAATGTTACACTCATCTTCACAGAAAGGTAAGAAGAAGGATCCAGGGAACCTGGATCAATGAACCCCACCTCAGCTCATCAGGTATGGAGCAAGTTTGCACAACAGACAATGTCAGACTCACTAATTAAAAGAGCATGACTAGGAACTGCCAGCTGCACAGTGAAACTAAAGCAGGATTAGTCAATGCTTTGGTATTTTACTAGTTTCCCTAAGAAACGTATCACCATGGTCTATCAGGATTAGTGACATGCCCAGTACATGTATCCCTTTCTCCTGGTCTCCTGCTCCCAAGCATGCCCACCTCTTGCCCACTCTAGCCCACAGCCCTCAGTAGCATTTTTAAGAGAGGACCTACAGCACAAAAAGGAAATAATGTTGGTATGCACAGCCACAGAGGAGGAGGAGGAGGAGGAGTTACTGCCATATAACTGGCTGCCTCATCGCAGCAAGCCAGCAAACATTCCCTGAATCATGTTTTAACGATGACTACTTAAGGGACGACAGCAAAACATTTTCTTTGTGCTTGGTGGGCGAACATTGCAAAGACATTCTAAAAAGTTACCTGAAACTGACCATCTTGCCTGGACTACAGCTTTTGCAACCAACCATGCTTTTAAGATGATCAATACCTTTTTGACTAGAAAGAAAAGCAAAGCTAGATAGTCACTGCTTTAACCTCTACTACACTGAACAAACTTCTATGCTTGCAGACACAGTAAGCAATAATCAAATGTACAAAGATGTACACAGTACGGTAAACAGATTTCAGTTTTTGTGTATTTGTTTTGTCTGCTACTGCAGCACATTGACTTGGGAAGTCCACGATTTCAGTCATTCCTGCACTCTGTATGCAATACTATGCTTTACGTGACAGATGACATTAAGCTTCCACTTAATCAGTCATGGGTTTCATCAAACGCTATATGCTGATGATTTCCCTTTAGCCTTTAATTCTCTTATTCATGAGAAACTAAAGAAATTAAGTCTTCTCCAAATCTATGAAAAAGGTATAAATGCTGTAGTTACTATTAGATTCAATTTCCAAACAATTGTTACGGCCTGAGGCAAAAATTGCAATACGCAATGTATATACCAGGTTTTTTTCCAACAGTGATGCCTGTAGTCAAGTTAGAGTACGCTATCAAAAATCATTTGCATTAATTTGCTACCACATAGTTGTATGCGCTTTTAAATCTTCTTGTTACATTTATCTCCACTTCCTCAACATTTAGTTAGACTAAGCTCCCAGAGGTGGTGGGGGTGGGGGGTGGGGGTGGAAGTCTTTACTATAATCACAGAGCCTTGAGATTAAGTTTTAATTTGCATTGATGAGGAAGAACAGAGGGAGGCACAGACATACTAGAAGGAGCTTTGAACAGGATCACTTACTGTATTCCATTGCATTTCAAGGAATTTCAACAGCAGAACAAATACTGTTTGGAACAATAAAACCAAAAGCCCTGTAGCACTTTTACTCTGCTGCACGGATAACACTCCACAAGAAAATATCCTAAAATGCTAATCATTATACAGAGTAACCTAGATTGCAGAAAACAATCACTCTTAAAATCCAAGTGTCCCAAACTGAGTTCCACATAGTAAATCATAATTTAGGGAGGAAACTAAGGCAGTAATCCTCCTCCATCCTGGAAGCTATTCCGAGAATCAGGGTATTCACCTCTTCTCAAGTCTGTACTTGCTCACTGCTTACTGCCCCTAGAAATCCCTTGTTAGCTCACAATAAGCAGGAAAATTAACATACAGGCCCAAGGCTGAGAAAGCCTCGACTAAGTGTTCTGTAAAAGGGTACAGAAATTTGGCAGAAAACAAACCCCCTTGCGTTCCACCTTGTCCTCAGATATTACAGGGGCTGGGGGCAGCTGGGCTTAGATTCTGAGTGATACCCAAGACAGCACTGCAACTCTGGTCACGTTCAATAGCCAATGCAGCATTAAATTGAACAAGCACCACTACGGATGCACAACTAGTGTGATACACTGTAAGTTCAGTCATGTTCACTGAACTACCATGCCCAGATGCACAAATCGTGCAGTTTATTGAAGCAACAGATACAGATTTCTTACAGATTGCCGGTGATAAATACACTGTCTGCATTAGTGCTAAATACGTATTTTCTAACCAGGTATCATCTGACATAATCAGAGGTGCAAACCTTACCAAAGGGGTGTCCCTGCTGCGGGGAGGAGAGAGAGGTAAGCCCGTTGACTTGTCTGTGAAGTAAGACCGCATTCTCATCCTCTGCCACGGAGGATTTCAAATGCCATATTTATATTTTGGGGAGAAGTGGAGGTGAGACTTGTTGATGCCGTTCATAGTTGGGGGGGTGGGCAGTCACTTTTCCAGTCTGGTGTATTTTTCCATACGTAAATGAAGGATAACAAGAGTGCTGATTACCTTCGGTCAGGCTGTGGGTCTTGAGCAAGGGCGGAAGGGAACCGTGACCCAATCATTAGTATCGCTCCCTCTTCCATCCAGCTGATAGAGCAGTCAGAGCTCTCTGGCCTCACCTGGCAGCCTGCTACCCCCCTCAGCAGCCCATCTACTCCATCAGCGCATTGGAAACGCCACCCTTCGTTAATCCCCTCACTACATATCTCACGGTCGTAGGCCTCATTCCTATACTAAGAAACTTACCTCAAGAGCAAACATTCTGTCCATCATACTTCTCGATGAGGTGGCATCAGCTACAATATGAACTTCCAGACCTCTGCCGATTAATTCCAATGCTGTTTGCTGAATGCAGACATGAGTCTACAGGGGAGAAATCAAAGGCAAAAAAACAACCAATAAACCAGTATTATAAAACATGAGTAGCACAATTCCAAATTAGAGTACACAATCAATTACGGTTCAAAGACATATTTTTCTACGCCTGACACTACTAAGGAACAATATGTGGGTTTTAAATGCCAACCAAGATTGAGGCAGGAGCCTGTAGTTTACAAATACCTAATTTCAGATTTTATTATAATATCAAAGACAAATAACACAAGAATAATTTAATCTGTACAGGATATCTGAGCTCTAAGCAATATAAATTGATTTTTTCTTTAATTACAGAAAGTAATGCTTAATACTATTGTGGACCAACAGACATTACCATAAAACAGTACAAGATTGGCAAGGCACATACTTCTACTCCAAACAGGACAACGCTGCGGACTCCAGGGATCTCTGCTAATGCTGCTTCAACTTCTGGCAACACCATTGAAAATTTTGTTTTGGGAAGCACAAGTTTAGCTCCTGTTAAATCAATTTCTTGCACAGTGCTGCCAAGACCTTTGGGATACTGTTCAGTTACAATAACTGGAATTCCTAAGAGTCGGGCACCTTGGAGCTGCAAGGGGGCAGGGAGGAAAGCATACAAGAAAAGAAATTAAAGACCAATAATAGCAAAGACACTGTTATTACCTGAAACTGAATAACCACAAAATAATAATTCACATGTGTGATCAAAACTCACTACAAGAAAAAAAAAGCAAAAGTTATACCAGTCGTTGGCCCACGCTGATGATATCACCAAAGTACTTGATGGCAGGCCGGAATCGCTCTTGCATATCACAACAGAAAAACACAGTGCTTGCGGGTGTCAGGTTGCCCAAAGTAGTCATCTGAAAAACAAAATAAAGTTAATGTTTTCCGTGGCAGTGAAGACCCTTTCAGAAAAGCAGCAGAATGAGAAAGAGTCTGCAACGCTTCTGCCAGGTAACAGGTTTGTGTTAAAGTCAAAATAGGAGAAAGGTTTTTCAAGCCTGATTTTGGTATATTTCTAAATTCAAATGAATGGTTGATACTGGGCAGTATAGTACAGTCATCAATAGGTAATCAAGATTTTATTAGGTGGGAAACACCAGTCAGTGTAAATGTACATGGAGACTTCTGAATCCTGAAGTGGTGGGGGAGGAGCATACTGTCTAGAGTACTGTAAAAAAAAAAAAAAATTAAAAGTACCAACAGCAAAATTACATTCCTCAAATTCAAGTTTAAGTCCACAACTCTTGGAAAGGAAATAAAATTAGGATAAATTAAAGTTAAAAAAAAGTCAGATTTCCACTTGCTTTCAATACTGTCTGTACATATATTTTCAATAGTTTCATCGTGTAGTCAGTTTGTTTTGTCTATGACATCTTTTAGCAGAAGTCTGATGAAAGTCCAAAAGCCAGAATGAAAGCAGAGAAGCCTGTCAGTATTATGACCAGAAACTGAATTGAATACATTTTAATGATAAAAATAATCTCCCAGAGCTTCCCTTGTACAGGCTACCGAGTGGGGTAGAAGGCACGGTAGTGCTGGGCTAAGAAAAAAGAAATCAAAGAACGCATTTTCTCACACTTTGAAAGAGTGCTTTGTATTTGTATGAAACTACTTGCACTACCTGCAGAAGCAAAGGGTAAGGCTTCAGCTGGAGGATATAGGGAAAAGAGCAGCTACACACTATCGTTCAGTTGTAAGGCAACTCAAGAGAATTTATATCTATTCAGGAGCTTTTCAGCAGACTGATAAATCAAATTGAATAAACTGTTTCTGGGAAGTAGCCATTAATTGTGTACACTTCATTTCCTGCGAACTGAGGTCGTGATTTTTTAAACTAAAACTACAAAATCTGTAAAATGGTATACTTTGGAAGAGCAGGGATGCATTGCATTTACGTGGCAAGGTTTTGGTAGTGGGAGAAGACTGCAGGGGTGGCTTTTGTAAGAAGATGTCAGAAGCAGCCCCATGTTGGACAGAGCCAGTGCCAGCTGGCTTCAAGATGGATCCAGTGCTGGCCAAGGCCCACCCCATCAGTGACAGGGGTTGCGCCCCTGTGATAACATATTTAAGAAAGCATAAAGAAACCACTGTGCAACAGGAGGTGGGAGAGAGGAGTGACACTATGTGAGAGAAACATCCCTGCAGCCCCCAGGTGAGTGCAGCAGGAGGAGGAGGTGCTGCAGGCCTGGAGCAGAGATTCCCCGCCAGCCCCTGGTGCAGCCCACGGTGAGGCCGTCGGTCCCCTTGCAGCCCACGGAGGCCCACACTGGAGCAGATCCCCACCTGCAGCCTGGGGAGGACTCGACGCCTGAGCAGGGGGATGCCCGAAGGAGGCTGTGACCCCGTGGGAAGCCCGCCTGGGAGCCCAGGCTGGAGCAGATTTGCTGGCCGGGCTTGTGACCCCGCGGGGGACCCAGGCTGAAGCCGTCTGTGCCTGAAGGGCTGCACCCCGGGGAAGGGATCCACGCTGGAGCTGTGCGTGAAGAACTGTAGCCTGCGGGAAGGACCCACACTGGAAAAGTTCATGAAGGACTATCTCCCATGGCAGGGACCCCATGCTGCAGCAGGGGAAGAGCACGAGGAGAAAGGATCAGCAGAGACAACATGTGATGAACTGACCACAACCTCTATTCCCCGTCCTGCTGTGCCACTTGCAGGGAGGAGGCAGACAAGTCAGAAGCGAAGCTGAGCCTGGGAAGAAGGGAGGGGTGGGGGGAAGGTGTTTTTACATCTATTTTTATTTCTCATTATTCTACTCTGTTATTGATTGGCAATAAAATAAATTAATTTCCCCAAGTCATGCCTCTTTCACCTGTGATGGTAATTGGTAAGTGATCTCTCCTTATCTTGACCCACAAGTTTTTTGTCGTATTTTCTCCCCTTGTCCTGTTGAGGAGGGGGAGTGATGGAGCAGTTTGGTGGTCACCTGGGGCCAGACAAGGTCAAATTGCTACAAGGGAATCGGGAATCCTTAAATATTAGTCCCAAATCTGTCATGGATTCACCACGCTTCCTGAGTAAAACACTTCTGATCTCTCTTTCCAAGGCTAAAAAAACTACAGTAATGGCCACGCTTAGCCATACAGAATGGCCTGTTCAAACTGTTGTGAAAATTACTTGTGCATTATAACTGTAAAGACTAAATTCCCACACCTCTCAGATTCAGTACACCACTACTGCCAAAACAGTAAACGTTGATAACCGCAGTCCCTGCAGCTCTTGTGGGCAAAACGGCAATACTATTAATACAATCAGTTGTGAACGCATACGCAGTAACGACCACAAAGCAGATGCTCTAACATTGGACCCACTGATGCCACAGGAAGACAGAAGAGCATCACAAGAGGTATCAGGGAAATCTTTTTCACTAGGAAGGTACAGCTGCACTGAAACAGGTTACCATGGGCAGTGAGATCTCCATCCTTGGAGGTTTTCAGCATTCAGCAAAGCAACAGCTGATTTGATCAGGAATTGGCTTTGCATAGGAATTAGGGAAGGCAGCCTATACATAGCTCTCCCAAACAACACTTCTGCAATTCTGCACCAGGTAGTAGATAAGTCCTGTGACCAAGAATGCTTGAAAATAAAATTAAATATTGAATAACTGCCTTGTTCTTGAACACACTGAACAATGCAGAAGCCAGTTGGTGGGAAGTACTAACGTACAATTCAACACCACAGGGAGCACCTACACATTCTAACTCTGGCACTTACTACCATCAGAGCAGTCAATCATGATATTCACCTTTGCTACCACTCAGCAGCAAAAATTGAGTAAGTGGAATAGACAATATTTATAAGGGTGCCTCCTACTCAGAAAACGTGTCATTTTGTGTTGGCATTAATGGTCTTTGCTTGTCACATGACTTTCTTCAATAAATCATTCCACCACTTTAATATTTTTAAATGTAATTTTGAACTACTGCAAACCATCATGGTTTGTAGAGTGATCTACATGGAGTCAGTCTACTGCCTTCGCATACACCATCCTGTGTCAAGGCAGTGGATAGCACTACCATCCTTAGCAGGGGAACAAGACTAGAGAGGCCGCCAAGAAGCTGCACAGTCTGCTTCTACAGAAGGATCAACCAAATTGCAAATATTCTTCACAGATATGTACACAGATATGGTCTGACCCATCAGCAATACACAATTTACAGAGCTCCTATACAATCCATCTGACAGCTCTGTTATCTTTACCTTGCAGTGTTTTCTCTCCCACAGCTTCTTTGTTGCCATTTAAGAACATTATTTCCAGTTCTGTCCATGGTGAATTTGAAATGCAAGAGCATTACCATCCTCATTCATGTGCATAACCATGCACAAACACCTATTACCCTACCTCAAGACCCAGATCTGGTCTTCCTTTAGTCCTTCCCCTCCCTTATTCTAAAACATATCTAATACTTTCAGCCTTTCCTCCTACAAGTCAAATCATTTTCACTGCCCTCCCCAGAGTGCTTTTCAAATTGCAGCCTACAGCAGGGCACCCAGTACTACTATAACAGTAGTATTTCTCTGCCTGTAATACTTCTCAGCACTAGTAGGGCCTCAGAGAAGATCGGTCAATTCACAGCCCTTGAAGGCCCTGTTGAATTTGTACTTTCCAGTATGCTATTTGCTCTGTTCATAATTGATGATGCTTAGTCTCCTGAGGTGCATTTTAATCTCAAAATCACCCCTTGAACTCTCCTTTGTCTTTTACTTGCGCAGTTGATTATTATTTCTACCTTTGTTGCTTCCATTTTGAACTGCATCTTATTTCACCTTGTTTCTCCAATTTGTCATGAAAAGCCTGAATTTTGCTCTCTCAGGTGCTTGCAGCTCCTCCCAGCTTGGCACCTTCTGAAAAAACAGTATTTGCCATAAGTTTCAGCAATGACGTCGATGATGGAATATTTACAAACTGTGGATTTGGAACAGAACTTATAGAGCTCAATTCAATATCATTCTGATTTGACAGTGAAGCATGGAAGAAAAGCAACTGCCTTTCCAGTCAGAGAGCATCCTCATCACAGACTTCAACTGAAATCCATAATCGCATGTGTTTATGTCAAACATCACAGGGAGCTGGAGCAAAAGCCTTATACCTACTTTCCTCTATTATCAAGTTGGTTTAATATGATTTAATTTATACCTTCAGTTTAATACCAGCAGCACTCTATAACAAAATTGGGGCAACTACCTACTTGCTAAATAAAAGCTTTTACAAAATTTAACACAAATAATTCCTACATTGATTTTCATATTTATTTCTGATTAACTTGCAGTCTGAATCGAACCATGCAACACATGGCAGAACAAGAAGAAACCAGAAGAAATAGATGGAAAGATCAAAAAATCAACACTTGCTGGTGTTACTTGGAATAGCAGATGTGAGAAGGACAGAGCGCAGCAGAAAGCTGTTTAAAATTCAGTTTCATAAACAGTAGCTAATGCAGTCCATGAATAAATTCACAGAAGTATCTGCTACATATAAAGGAAAGTTTCCGCTTACTGGTTCTTCAATATGCCATGTAAATCTTACCACTCATTTGCTCTCAAAGCCGCCCTCCCCTTCCACAGCCACACTGCGTCAGGGACATGAGACACCTCCCCCTCATACATCCCCTGATGTGAAAACCATGACCACCAGCACCGTTTCAGCGTCGCACCCCACCAGTGAGCTGGGGTGGGGGCAAACCCACACCCACACATCAAACCGTGGGCCGGCACACCAGCACCTGCGTGCTTCCACTTGGGGGAAAGGCAGGCTGGGCAAGAATGGTGAGACACTGCAGCCACATGGTACCTGTCCGAATCCACCCCGAACATAACATCTACTCATCCATGCTATCATAAAACAACCTAAATTTAA